TGGTTAAGTGGCAAAAGCACAAGGCAAAGAGAGTGTGGCATGCTACCATTTGTGAAAGACAAGGCGGGGAGAACATAGCTGCGCTTAGAAACACTTAGTGGGTGGATAATAAGAAATCAGTTGGGTGGTTGCCTTTGGGGAAGAGGGAGGGGAGACTTTATCGTCCACAGGAAAAAGTTTCACACCTTTTTAAATGGGAATATATGAATATATTATCTATTCAAAGAGATTGATAAGCTTAATATTTTCAAATCAAATTAAATGGCAAATCTTCTCCTCTTTCAAATAAATGAAACAAAAGGCAGCGCCTAGGAGAGAAGGTCCGGACATGTCACCTCTCCCTGGAATGAGGTTCCACTGGAAGGCACGCTACACCTTCATGGTCCTAGGGTGCGATGGAGACAGCTGTCATCCCACCTGCTCTGCCCGTAGGGTCTGGTCCCTCCCCAGGTGGCGACTTTGTCTACACTGTGTTTTGTGGTCCCAAGCCCAAGCGTCCCTGCTGGCCCCTTAGCCCCTTGAGGCAGGGCCAGGCCTCATTCTTCTTGGTCTGGTTCCCCAGTACAGTGCCTGACACCCACCAGTTTGTTGACCTGGAAGCCAGAGCCCTTCAGCTCACACGTCTGGCCAGTTTGGAAACGTGCAGGCCTGTGTACCAAGAGGTGCTGTCAGAGAGCCATCGGCTTCTTGCCATTGCGCTGTCCATGATGGCACTGCCTTCGGGATCAGGCAGAGTCAGCTGGCCGAACAGCTTGGCCTGGTGGTGCTTCCCGACCCTGGCCGGGCCCCAGAAGGACCTGAGGCCCTTTGTGTACGAATGTGGCAAGAGATTCACTTTAATTTTAAGTACACAAACAACATACCTCTTTGCCCTTTGAAAAATCAGAACGTTACATATAAACTAAAATGACCTTGACCCGGCCCTCTTAATCTCACCTCCTCCCTTCCAAAGAGTTAATCACTCTGCACCCTGCCAGACAGTTTCTTAAATTTTTCTTTTACATCCACATGCTTGAACCTATAGAGAAAGTACAGCATCATTTTGTGTGGTTTCATTTTACACGAATTGTGTTATCCTGGGTGTGTCATGCTGCAACTTGCTTTTTCCATTCAACACTATGTTGAGACTTAACCGTGTTGAAATTATCTAGAGATTTCATTCATTCCTTGTCATTGCCATATGGTTTTGCACGGAATGAACGTACAATTTTTTTTAGGCTTGTTGCCAGACCTTTGGGTCATTACAGATCCAAATCCTGCTGTCAGCATCCTTGTTCATGTCTCTTGGCCCACATGTGTGTTTTTCTTGGGAACATACCAATTGCCAGTTCATATGGTGTGAAACTTTCAATTTTAACAAATAATGCTAATTTGCCCTCCAAAATAGCTATGTTAATTTATTCTCCCACTAGCAGCTTTTGAGAATGTCAGTCTTTCTATGTCCTCACCAATACCTGATGTTATCATTTTTATTTTTGCCAATCTGATGCATAGAAGGTGGTGTCTCATTTTAATTTGTTTCCTGATTTCTCATGTGGGTGACACCTTTGTGTGTGTTAATTGGCTGTCCCCATTCTCTTATCTGTGAATGCCCCGTGGTAGTCCTTCACATTTACTGCTGTCTTTTGCTTGTTAGAGATATTTTGTAAATATTTCCCTTAGTGTGTAAAGTCGTTTGTTATGGATGAGTTAAATTTTAATTTTGGTATAGTCAGTTTATCGATCTCATTCGTCTTTATTTGTATGCGTTGATTCTTGTTTCTTTTTAAAAAAATCTTTACCTCCCCTAAGGTCACATGGATATTCTCCTCTATTGTCTTCTGACAGTCTTCTGTAAATTTTAAAAATAGAATCCTAGGCCCCACCCCTTTTGGAGTGAAGTTGGTGTGGGAGGGACCCAGGAGATTCAGATGGGCAGCGAGATCTAGGCAGCACCAGTGTACGGATGACCTCTCACCTACACTGGTCTCCTCTAGCCACAGGCCACTCCTGAGAGTCAGGCAGGGAGGCTCATGGGGCTGCCATACATGCGACAGAGCTGCCTGCTGCTGAGTCCTCCCCACATCGCCGCGTCCCTCTGGCTACCTCAGCACCTGTCATGGCTCCCCCTGGCTTGGAGCGAAATCCACAGGTGCCTGTATGAAGGCAGCAGGTGAAGGGCTGAGACTGTGGGCAGAATTGGGTTCCATTCAGCAGCTCTCTCCTGGGTCCGCCTCTGCCCAAAGCGTGGCCATCCAAAGGCAAGCAGACAGCCCCGTCCCCCAGGGCTCCGGACGGGAATGCCCACAGCCAGTGTGTGGATGGAGGTGGTGAAGGAGTTCCCTAAAAAGACACTGAAGCCCACAGACGAGTCACCCCAACCGGCATTCCCTTGATCTCCCTGAAGGATGCCCTTCTCCTTAGTCTCGGAAACCCACATCATTTCTCCTTAACTGCCCCACAGCTTCTGAAAAGCCGGAGGCTCCTTCCCTCTCGGAGCCATCCTGCTCTTGGTAACGGTTGCCCTTTAGTTTTCTTATGAAATCTCACAGGCTTTGATGTCTCAATTGCATTTCTGAACGTTGTTCCGCTTTGGGGTTTTGTCCTTCCTTTTGTGTTCTTTGTGGCGGAGGTGGTAGGTCTTTTTCCCCTGAAGCCCCTAAGGGCCCTCGGCTTTATGAGTGGGTTGCCTGCCGGCACAACTGACACCTATGTCTGTGCCCGCTTTCCCGGGTCACACCCTCAGATGGACGACTTCTGTGAATGTGGGAAAAGAAGGAAGCTGAGTTGTCCTGTGTGGAGACAGGGAACGGAAAAGGGAGGGAAGAGAGAAAGAGAAAGTAAAAAAGGAAAGAAAAAGCATCCTTTATTAGTTTTGTTTTCTATTTTTAAAAAGTAAAAGATTGTCATTGAGTAAAATGTTTTAAGTATTGAGTAAAGAAAGTAAATTCTGTGTACCACAAACAAAATGTTTATAAGAATGAATGTAATGACTTCCATTTCTGATAATATACAAGGCTAGATGTCTTCCAGTATGGAACTAGAAATTTTAGAGAAAGTAATTTTTAGAAGTCTTTTAAAATACTTGGCTGGACTATTGGGAAAGGGAGGAAGATTCTTGCCCTAGATAATAAGAAAGTACAGTCCAGAGAGTTAAGCCTGTCTGGTGCTGGTGTTGCCATGGAGGTGTCTGGCTATTCTAGGTGGTCATATGCTGGGGAGAATAGACAGAAACACGAGGCCTGTAAAAACCGGGAGGATGGACTGGAAGACATCCCCATGAAGCCAGAATCCCAGACAGATTATGCTGTCCGAGGGTTCAGCTGAGGTGTGTGTGGGGAGGTGGTGCCTGAGAGAGACAGAAAGAATAAATTTACATATCATCCTGGAAATCTAAATGAAAAGTACAAATGGGGAAGAAATCCTTAGAGAATCCCTGAGCCCAAGTTTGTCATCACATGTGCTTGGGGCCAGAATTTATACCACCTGTGTTACCTTCTCCTGCCCCCACCCCTGCCCACCTACCACCAATAAATTTAAGGCAAATATTTGGTTACAGTGCTCCCAACTTACTGAGGTGATGGAAGTGTTCTACAACTGGAATGAAGTAATGCACATGCACAACGGTAAATTTAGTAAAATTCTAACTGTACACTTAAAATGGGTGAATTTTATGGTATCTAAATTATACCTCTATAAAGCTGTTTCCCAAAAAACACCTTCCATTCTTATAATCAGAGACTTCCTTTACTGTTTTAGCATATTTCTCTGGATTTATATTTCTTTGTAGGGATACTTTGTTTTTAACATATCAAAATCATAGTAATAAAATTTTTATCCTCTTTTTCCTTTAAAATTTGAATGTCTTTTCCAATGTCATTGCAATTATTTGTAAATAGGATTTTTTACTTGGGTTTTTAACACGTATTTCAAAAGTACATCTTAAGTACTTTCTCATTTTAAAATAATTTCAAGCAATATAGTGGCATATAGGGCAAAAATTAAAGTGCTCCCATTGAAACTCCCCCCTCGCCAAACACACACACTCCCACCCCCGGTTCTCACTTCCCTCCCGTAGGTAACCACTGTTCACAGTTTGGTTAAACATAATTTTGAAATGGGTATATAATTCTTCGTGTGATGGGGAAAAAAATTATCCTCAAATTGTTCCCCTATCCAGGGGCATTTAGGTTGTTTCCTGGTTGGCTATTTCTTTTAAAACTTGTGTAGCAGAAGATTCTGTTGGAGGGAACTCAGAGCAGACTATAGATTTAATGATCCTATGTTACTCGGGTGATTTCAAGCCATCACGGACAGGCACTAAATTAGACATTGAATTTAGTGATAACTTTCAAGTAAGAGAAGGGGCCCAGCATACACTGAGGACCCCATGCTAAATGCTTTACCCATCTGTTCTCATATAACACACGGAGCATCTCAAGATAAGGGAAATTACCGCCATTTTTGCAGATGGAAAACCAGGGTTCATAGGGGCTGAGTGCCTCACCCAGGATCACACACCATCTGGTGCAGAGCTCGGCTCTTAAGTTGCCAGACACCACGTTGAGAGCTCTACCGAGCAGAGGACTCTTGTTTTCCTGTCTTCGCTTGACTTAGGCGAACACCGTTGCAACTGTAAACCACCATTGGTCTGCAAGGAAGCACTGAAATGGTACTGGGAATCTCAGTTTATTGCTTCTTTTTTTAGCTACAGTTTGAGCACGTAATGTGCAGTAAACGTTGTACTAATGCTTTATGTGTTTATTCAATCCTCACAAATAGCGCTATGAGAGGGATAGGCATGAGCCTCCTTTTTCAGATGAGGAACATGAAGCTCAGAGAGGTAAAAAGTTGCCCAGCATGACTCAGAGGAGGGACTCAGACCCAGGTGTGTGTGACTCCAAACCTGGGCTCTGACCACTGAGCTCCACTGCTCAGCAGAATGCAAGTCAGCTTGAGTGTCTCCATCAGGCTGGGCAGCCGGACTGTGCCTCATTCTGCTCTAATCTCCCTCCTCCTAGACAACAGTGACCTCATCGCGTGCACGGTGATCACCAAGGATGGCGGCATGGTCCAGCGCTTCCTGGCTGTCGATATTTACCAGATGAGTTTAGTGGAGCCCGACGTGTCCAGGCTTGGCTGGGGAGTAGTCAAGTTCGCAGGCCTTCTGCAGGTATGGTGGCCAAGAACTCCAGAAGGTCTTCTTGGTTGGCTCTACAAACACACACATACAAATATCTCATCTACAGTTAATTTCTGATGACACAAGGGCTACGTGAACAGAGTATCATTGAGAAAAGCTAAAATATTATACAGATAAAGACCAAGTCCTCTTTGACCAAAACCTTGTATTCTGAAACTTTCTTCTCCATGATCAGTATGATCTTTCCAGATCTGGTGCTCTGCCAAATGCATATATAAATATAACTACATGTACTGTTTTTAAAATTGTGTATACATACTTGAGAGGGAGTGTGTGTGTGTATTTTTTATAGTGCCACATTGAGCATATTCTAAACTTTGCTTTTTTTCACTCAACGTTTGTCTTAGAGAGCTGACCATGTTAGTTTATGCAGATTTACTGGTATTCTTTTAACTGCTGCATGACCATAGCAAGGCACAGGTAGTTAGACAGTGCCCTGTGGCTATTTCCAGCTTTTCCCTTTACAAACAGTGCTGCCGTGGACAGAATTGTCCTTACTTCCTTGTGCACGTGAGCAAGGGTTTCCCTAGACAGATACCAAGAAGTTGGGATGTGCCTATTTTTAGTGTTCATAGACACTGCCAAATTCCTCTCTGAAATGATTGTTGCCACTGGCAATTTATGAGAGGTCACTTGTCCTCACCCCCTCTCCAGCAGAGCTGGGCTCTAAATTGCCAAACAACACGTTGGGACTTGGGTTTTCTTAATGTTCGTCTCTATGATGGGTGACTAATGCCAGCTCATTGATTGAATGAAGCATAGAACCAGAAGAGTTGAAAACTGCCTTCCAGCTCACATCCCCTGTCAGACCCCCAGTCCCTGACCGTCCGGCAGACTCTTCCAGACCTAAGACTTGCCCTGCTCTGAGGCCATCCGTTTCCTTGCGGGCCGTCCTGGTTGCTGGCAAGGCCTTGCTCGGGCTGACGCACATCCGTCTCTCCACAATGTGACCTGCTGGCAGTGTCCTGCTCTCTAAGAGAACCACCCATGTGTTTGAAGATGCTATTGCAACCTTTTCCCCAACCTCCTCTTTTTCAAGATCTTTCCATTTTAAAAATGTCTTTTGCGAAGGGTGATGTGAGAAACAACTATATGAAGAATTTTTCATTTAGAAGACTTCCATGTAAGAGGTTGTCCATTAGGTAACTTAGTGCTTCTTATTTATCTAGGCTTATGATCAATTTCCTTTAGAATTTAGTGTCAGGAAAGTGTTTTTCTCCCTCAAAGGATTAGTACACGCCTCCATCAGACAATGAAAGCCACATAAACCTTTTCTTTTGGTCATCTTCCAACAGCTACCATCTGTCAGGCTGTTACTATGTGCCAGCCTCTCTGCCTTAAATGCGTAATATCTCATCTAATCCCCACTGCAACATTTCAGTGCAGGGATTATTTCCAAAGAGCCCGTGCCAGATTTACTGCCTATGAACAGTAACCATCTTACCTCGTGGGCCTTTTTCAGCATTTATCCCACCTTCTCCAGCATTTCGGCCATTCATGTCTATCCCCTGTCTCATGCTTTTATCTTAAAGCATCTCAGACCTTTGTGGGAAGCAAATTCTTTACACACAATCCATTCTGAGGTTTTAGATTGGCTTCGTCCTTATTACTCTTGCTATACATTAGTTTCCTCTCCACTTTTCAAATGTAGCTTTCTTCAGATATCTGCTAAATGGCCCTTGCTGTCCCTTTCTCAGGGTTAGCATTCTCCTTTAGGGACCAGAAATTCTTTAGAGACATACAAATGGGTGCCAACAATGCCCCCTTCTTAAGAGAAACGAAGAAATTGGTCAGTTGATGAGTGCATATACCTAAGATCATGCCAGATGGAGATAGGAATTTGGGGTTGTTGTCTCTGGTTTCTCAGCAGTAAGAATTGTTGGAGTTTGACTCTTGGGCTTACCGTAGCCCCTTGAAGAGGCGGTGGACCTGCTTGTTCGGTAGCTAACTCAGGTCCTTGTGGGGACAGTACTAGCCACCACAGCCAGCATCGGCTCCTTGAGCAAGCTCTGTGCTTGCCACCCTGTCTCCTCCCACTAGGCCTGGTCTTGTTTGTGCCCACCTTGACTCTCTTAGTCAAGGCTGATGGTCTCCTTCAGAGCAAAAGCAAAGTTGAATTTGGAAGACCTCCTTCTAGATGAGACATGGATCCTGCAGCTTCTAAGCAGCTACGCCCCTCCTAAACCTAATGAAAACCCCTTTTTTTGCCTCCTCCCCCTGCAGGACATGCAGGTGACTGGCGTGGAGGACGACAGCCGTGCCCTGAATATCACCATCCACAAGCCTGCATCCAGCCCCCATTCTAAGCCCTTCCCCATCCTCCAGGCCACCTTCCTCTTCCCGGACCACATTCGCTGCATCATCGCCAAGCAGCGCCTGGCCAAGGGCCGCATCCAGGCAAGGCGCATGAAGATGCAGAGGATAGCTGGTGAGTGGCTGGCCCTGGTGGAGTGTCCTCTGAGCCCTTGGGGGGCAGCAGCAGCCACAGCGCTGTCAGCCTGTTTCTCACATTGACCTTGAGACACCCCATAACTCCTCTAGAAGAGGACACGTGTGGTTCAGGAATTAATTGTGTTTCAGTGAGAGAATGGAGAGTCTGCTCAGAATTCCCCACTTCCCAAGTGTTTGATTTATAGAGAGTTTCTCTGGCTGCGTGAAAGAGGAGGAGAGCCCTCTGTCCCAGGCAGGAGGCGCTGAACAGGCAGGCATCAGCGTGGGACAACTGTTGTCACTCCTGCACACGGAAATTCTCTAGTGTATGTTTACAAAGTGCCTCAACATTCCTCTACCGCTTTCAGTCCTTAAAACAACCCTTGAGACCAGTAGGGCCTGTTCTGTCCATTTTGTAGAAGAGTAAACTGAGGCTCAGTGACTTGCCCCAAGTCACACAGGCAGCCAGTTGGCAGAACCCAATGCAGAACTTCCTACCCTTCCTCCTCTCCCTTCCCGGCTCTCATGAGAAGTGGCCCTGCTTGGTGAGGTGCCGTGCCCCAGTACTGAATTGGGAAGTCGTTTTACATTTTGCAGGGATTGTGGTGAATTTGTAAGAAGGCCCAATACTGAGACCCCAGCTTTCTTAGAAGTAAAGGCTCTGAGAGAGGGACGTGCTAGTCATCAGGGCGGAAGGCACAGCCTTCTCCTCGGGGAAAAAGGCGTTCTATCAACTCCTAGAATTATAAACAGTCTTTCTCAAGACACTACCACCTTTCAGTTCAGGCACCAATGGTTGTTCTAGTGTGGTCGCTGGGAGGATGTCCAGCCCACTGCTGGAGGAGAGGAGCTTTCTCAAGGGATCACCTAAAAATAAACACTTGGAGGGCGGGGTTGTTGGATGAGGTGGGTTGAGTTACTTCCCGTGCATGCCCCGTTGATTTGCGCAGGCCTGCATCCCACATCATCCTCGTCTTATTTCTCCCTTAGCTGAAAGTTGGCCTACAAAATCATTACAGAAGCATTTTGTAATGTGCAAAGTGACTTAAATCATTCAGTCCTTTCTTTTAAGATTTATTTTCAGAGGGTTTTTTTTTAATGTAAAGCAATTTCTCACAGCTGGCATGAAGGCTAAGTATTTCATTTGAAAATTGAGAATTACGCCGTAAAGTGGTTGTTAGAACTAACGCTTTGGGTATTTCTTAAATTGGTTTTAAAAAGCCCCTCCAAGTGGCTATATCATGAGATTTGTTTATGGAAGCGAGGATGGCAACTGTGACAGAAAAACACACACTCATAAATACACATGTGCATGTGCGTGTATATTCTCTCTCACACACTCTTCTCCATGCGCATAGATATATATTATGTCTCCATGTATGTATGCAGACGTGGCCCCATTTGCTGGGGCTCTGAAACTGCCCCGAGGCTAGGCCTTGGCAAGGGTCTTTTGTGTGTGGAGGCCGAGAATCTGGGGTGGAGACTGGCCCGCATCCATTTCTGAAGCCCTCGCCTGGCCCCAGTTGTATTTGGAGCCTCAGGCAGGACCTCTGGTGTCTCGCTGGTCTCCCCAGCTCGAGGCTACCATGGCCATTGTGGCTACAACCACCCCACCCAGGGTCTCGCCACCTGTGCTTCCGTCCTACGTGCTGAGCATGAACCTCGGGTTTGTTTGCACGCAGCCCTCCTGGACCTCCCGATTCAGCCGGCCACCGAAGTCCTGGGGTTTGGTCTCGGCTCCTCCTCTTCCACCCAGCACCTGCCTTTCCGCTTCTACGACCAGTGCCGCCGGGGCAGCAGCGACCCCACAGTGCAGCGCTCGGTGTTCGCGTCTGTGGACAAGGTGCCAGGTAAGCCGGCCCCACCCTGCGCCACCTCTTGGTCCTCTTGGAGTTGGGGGGTGTTTCCAGGACTTTCTCTCTGTTGAGCCCGTGTAAGCATCCCTTCCCCTCTGAGAAATCCAGTCAGTTGGAAACACCAGTTTCTTAGAATTTATCAAAGTAGAGCTCAAGATTAAACACAAGCCCCAGAAAGCAAGCTTGGCTTTCTCTTTGGTGTTCTGCTGCAGAGTTTGGTTTTCCAGAGATTTGTTGGGGATGTGTAAGGGCTTCTTAGAACTAAGACTAAGGAGTTTCTTGGAGATTTCTTGGAAATACTTAGATTATTAGTAATGAGGTTGTGGGAGAGTAATTTCCTTCTCCATGTAGGATGACTAGAAAGAGAGAATGTGTGTGGTTCCTGTTACAGCTCCCTGAAGAAGTAAGACTTGAGAAGAAAGCCCCGCTGCCCATGGGGCGGCTGCCAGTGTCTCCCGTCTGGGAGCCTTTCTTCCCACTTTCACCAAAGCTCATCTCTAAGCCCCGCCCACCCTCCCCTGAAAGAGAACTGCAAATGGAAAGTTCATGGTCAGCTTGGCAGCAGAAAGAGCTGCTTCTCCAGAAGGGCAGGCGGGCTCTCCCTTTCCTGTTCTCGTACATCTGCTTTAAGTAAATCCATATGCACCCTAGTCCCCCCAAAGAGAACCTTGCTCTTGATTACAAAACTTCAGAAAACTGGCCGAGCTGTCCCGTGCAACTTAACCTCTCCATGTTTAGGGTTTCGAACTTCAATTGCAAATGTTGCAAAATATTTTCAAAAGCAGTTACCGATTTGGGAACAAAATGCAGCCATAAGAACCTGACCAGAATCAGGGTCCTTGTTTCCCTCCCACTTCATGATGCATTCTATTTTCATTCTTTGGTTTGATTCATTTATTTTGGAAATATATATACTGTAAGCACATGATTTTTTAAAATCCAAACAGGACTTGATAAAATGAAAAGTAAGTTTACTTGGCCCCAGAAGTAACCACTGTTAACAGTTTCTTGCACATCCTTCCAGAAATACTTGTTTGTATGTCATACATATGTTTTTACCTGTCTGTTTGTATGCCTGGGGTTATGCCATATATGCGATTCTGCGCCTTGATGTTTTTACTTAATGAGAAGTCATTGTTACGTGTTAGCATCCGTAAATTGACTTCGTGCTCGTTAACTGTTGTATGGTATTTTATCGTATGGATGGACCAAAAATACCTTTTATAACATATCATATTGATGGATATTTGAGTCATTTTCAGTGTTTCGCTCTTCCAGTGTCACAGTGAACATCCTTGGGGTATCTTAGTGTAATTGTGCATATCTCACGTTTCTGTGGGATACGTTCCCAGCAGCGGATCTGCTGAGTCAAAGGGGAGCTTTTTCATCTTGATCTGTGTAGCCCCAACATGCACTCTGGAAAAAGTGTACCGGTTCATGCTGCCACCCACAGCCTGTGACTGTTTCATTCTTAAAACCAGTCTTAGGCCACGAGACTGATTACAGTACTGCCACTGTTTCCAGCTGGAAAATGTGAGATGATTCTGCCTGCTCCAGAGTCTGGAGGATTCTTTGTTAAAAATTCTCCAGGTTGCTTCGTATTCTGTAGAGATCGTTGCTAAGTAAATATAAATGATCACCATGAGTCTGGGTTAACTAAATACAAATTGGCCTAGTAAGAAACCATTTCTTTCTTCCTTTTTTAACACACAGTCGTAATTTTATTATATTTCTATAAGCATCACTTTGTAATTTTTTTTATTGAGATATAATTGACACATAACACTATATTAGTTAAGAAATCATTTCTGTAGGGCCGTTGTGGCTTCTTTCACCTTGAGAACTAACGGGTTAAGGAGAAAAGCCCAGGCCTTATTTCTACTCCATCCTTTTTGGAACAAGGGGAGTGTAAATAAATAAATAGAGCCAATGTCACATTCTTTGGCATCTGCATAATCATCTCTCTGTTTGCAGAAGGCTTTACAATGACTTATTACTTACTTCTTCCACCCTTCCTGGGCTCCAGGGGAGGTGTGAGGTCATTCAGTGCTGGGAATGTGGCCCTGTCTGCAGGGGCGTGGGCATGCCTGGCAGAGGGTTGACACAGCTGGAATGCCCATTTGTCCTGTTGCTGGTCCTAGGGTCAGGGTCTGTGAGGTTGGGCCAGTTGGGACTGTGGCGAGTTAAAGGTAGCTGCTGAAGGAGGCCATCCTCCCCGTGGCTGTCTCTCCCTTGACAGCCTGGAAGTGCCACTTGAGTGGGGGGGGGGCACATTCTCACAGATGTGCCCCCCAGGGCGGCTGCTCTGGGCCCTTGGATAGAGAGACCTCGCTGTCCTCCTGCCTTGGCCTGGGCCGGAGATGTGATCTAAAGAGCAAGTGGAAACCCGTGAACCTCAGCATGATTCAGAGAGAGCTAGGGGAGCTCTCTCTTCCTCCATGCCGCCCCTCCACTGCCTGCTGTCTCAGTAGTCGGCCCCATAGCAACCCAGCATCTTGGATTCATCCTTAATTCTTCTCTTTCTTCTCCCACACCCACTGGCCTGCTCCGCCTCCAGAATGTACCCCACCTCTTCTCCCCATCCCGGCCTCCAGCATCTGTCCCTAGATCACGGCAGCAGCATCCTCAGTATTCTCTGGCTTCCAGTCTTGTCCCCTCCTTTCCATTCGTCCACAGGGATCTTTTTAGAACATAAATCAGATCATATCATGCCCCTGCCTGCAACCCTCAGTAGCTTCTCATTGCACTTAGAACAAAATCCAGACCTCTCACTCTGATCTTGTGTGATCATCGTGAGATTGGCCCCAGCCAGCCTCTCAGACGCAGCCCCTCCCTTCACATTATGTCCTACCCGAGCTGTACCAGCCCTGCTCCTCCTCTAAGTCAGCACTTCTCAAAGTTTTGGCCTCAGGACCCCTTTAAATAACATAGTTTTTTATGAACAATAACTGTCCTTTTCAAAACAAAAAATTAATGTTTTGTAGTTTTGCAGATCTGTTTAATATCTGGCTTAATAGAAGACAGCTGGATTCTCGTATCTGCTTTTGTTTTCAGTCTGTTGTGATAGCATTTGCTCTGCGGCCTCTGAAAAACTCCTCTGCATTCTCGTGGGAGAATGAATGTAAAAGGGAAAGGCTGTCTTGTGATTTTTATGAAAGTGGTTCTGGTGCTGGGAGGCCCCCAGGGTTCCCCAGACCATGCCTTGAGAACCACTGCTCTACGTCTTGGAGCTCTCTCCTGCCTCTGGGCCTTTGCACTGGATGTTATTCCCCTGATCTGTGTGTGTCTGCCTCCTACTAATTGCTCAGGCCTCAGTCTGCCTGCCGCCTCCTCAGAGAGGCTTTTCCTGATCCCCCCCTGGCAGAGGTTACCCCCTCCCCTCCATCCCAGTAGCCTGGTTTATTTTCTCCGTGGTCCTGGGGTTCCTTACCTGGCCATGGTCTCTCTCGCCCATGGAGGGTGTCACTTCCGTGGGGGCCTGGTCTGTCCTGGCCCCTGCTATATGTCAGCGTCCAGCGCCGTGCCTTCGTTCAGCACTTGTTGAATGAAGAGGGAGCCTACACCTGTTTCCTGCACAGCCTTGGAGCAGACCCCATGCAATGCCGTCTCCCTCACCTGAACACCAGGAAGACAGGAAGTCCTCCCAGGGTTCCTAGACGTCGGGCGCTTTAGTCTCTAGCACTTAGTCTCAGGAGGGAACTGAGACTCCCAGGAGATCGTAAGCAGCATCCCTCTGCTTAATTTCTGTCACCGAGGAGAGCGAGGTGTGCATCCTGGGGGGCAGATGCACCCAGGTGACAGATGTGGGTTGGTTGCACGTCTCTGAATGCCACCGCCCTCACCTGGCTCAGAGGTTTCAGAAGACCAAGAGTGGGGCTGGAGCGGTCATCAGAAGCACGGCCCAGGTTGGCCTCCGATGCCGTGGCGTCCACGCTGCCATCGGGCCATGAGCACAGCAGGGTGCCCCTTCCCGCCGCTGCATGGTCTCGCTCTGGGCCCCTTGCCGTAGGCTGCACTGTTGCAAACTCCCAGTCGGTGCAGGATCTGCGCTCCTGCCCGGGGAATAACTCCCAGGGGAGAAAACAGCCCTGGCTGCCGGCCTTGGTGAGTGCTGGAGGAGCTGGCTCTGTCATGATACGTCTTCCCACTTCATCCGCAGGCCCAGGGAATTGTCACAGAGCAGTTTGTCTCCCCTTTAGAAGCTATAAATGATTCTAGTTGATGAAAATATACCTTTCATTTCCTTGGAAGAGATGTTAAAGCAGAATATAAATCAGGGCTAATAGGTGAGTAACCACTTTGGTGTATTTTTCTTCTTCCATTTGGCTTGGAGAGAAATCACAAATTCTGTTGATCGGCCAGTTTTAGTTTTATGGCTCTCGCGCCCAGGGGATGGTTGTTGGGCTCCAGGAGGGCAGAGGCTTGTGTGCACACCTGGCTGGGGAGGGGGTGGGCGGTGACCGGTTAGTCAGTGGGCAGCACGACCAGCTCTGGAGTCTGCCTTTGAGGTGCAGCGCTCCGTGGTTAGCGCCCTCGAGGACCTGTCCTGTCGACCTATGGTGACAGCTGATTGCTAGAATCTGCCAAGGGGGCGGGGTGTCCAAAACTAGCCCACAAGGGCATCTGTCCATAAACACCAAGTGGACCAGCAGACCCCAGAGCAGAAGCTGTTCTTGGAAAGTGACCCTGGGCATGGTGGGGGCAGTGGCCTCCAGTCAAAGGGCCAGGGCTCTGGCCTCACAGAGCAGCCTCCATCCCCACTCCCAGGCTCCTTCTGGCCCTGCGGCTGCTCACAGGCGTTCACCTGGTGGGCAGGGCGGCGGGGGGTGGTTGGCAGATACTGCAGTCCTGCTTGCTCACGTCCTCTCCACGCCCTGCCTAGTTCTTATCCAGATGGTAGGGCTCTACAGCCCTAGGGCGTTGCGGGAATTTGAATGGTCAGCCAGGCAGATTGCCACTCGCCGACCCTCACTGGTGGGGGCTTAATGACATGA